TTACTTGTTTTAATTGCTTATATGCTTTTATTAAAAACCTTCTAATACAATGAACTGCTAGCTATTTGAAAATTTCAATATAAATTAGTTGATATGAGTAATTTTTTATTAGGATTATAAAAGGGAAGGAGAAAATATTAACATACTTAAATACTTTAAACGGCATGGTTATTTTTTAGATATTAATGTTAAAGTTGGCCTGGTTAAATATTAAAATTGGCCTGCCTAAAATCTTGCACACCCGGAAAAAAACTGAAATGACGCCCCTGGTTTTGAATACTTTCAGAGTATATAACTTTCATATTACATATTTTTTTCATAATATTTTGTTCCACTTTTAAATTTTATGTAAGGATTAAATTATTCACAAAATGGAACAAAAAGTCCACCGAGAGGAACAAAAAGTCCACCGAGAGGAACAAAATATCCCCGCGGAACAAAATATCCCACTCGGACATTTTGTTCCGTTTTAGGATTTTTTGTTCCGTGTTTAATTTTTTTGAAAGGATCAAATTATTCACAAAAAGGAACAAAAAGTCCACCGAGAGGAACAAAATATCCCCACGGAACAAAATATCCCACTAGGACATTTTGTTCCGTTTTAGGATTTTTTGTTCCGTGTTTAATTTATTTGAAAAAGGAACAAAATGTCCCCAAAAAGGAACAAAATGTCCGCGGAACAAAATATCACCTTACCGTAGCATGGGGGGTCTCCATCGGGTGGTAACTTTTTTTTATCGATCACCTCGAATCTCAAAATACTTGTGCAAGCACCACTTTGAAATGAGAATTTTGGAAGCGATACCATAAAATGGGGTGTGTAGGAACGGTTTTTCTGCAGTATAACCGTCAGTTTTTAAGATTTTTCTTATCTGAAAGTTATTTTGGAAAGTGTGAACAATGGGGCAGTTTTGTCATAAAAAATAATTTCTTTAAGTTCTATAATTATTTTTAAACAATTTTTCAAAAGTCATGTTCCTATACACCCCGTATGGATGGTGTATTTCAGATCCAGCGAGGTGCGTACGTAATTACAAATGTTTAATTAACACGTTGTTTATGACGTGTATGTTCCCTGGACAACCGTAGAAAAATAAGCCTTGGGAATACCATTTTTAGTAAGTAATATAGTTTTGAGTTTTTGAAAAAATATAATATATAGGTACGAGGTACCAGGTCTAAAGTTATATTCAATCATAACCAATAGCAATATTACAATAAACAAAAAAATACTTTAGTTTATAACAGCTGCCGCCTCTGTTGCAATTTTTCTATCCAGTTACCTACGTTTCCGGTGGATTTTCATACCATTTTCTTTCATACAAACCTTGTCCAGACAATTACGAATCCAACGGAAAAAATAATCAGTCAAATTGATCGAGCAAAAATAAAAAATAACCATGAAAAGAAAAGTATTTTTCATGAAAATAACAATATAGCACATATAGTATATAAGTAGGTATATAAGGAAAGACTACGGTCTGCCCATTGAGCATACATACAGACTACGTCCGTCCAGAATCCATAGAGTAGGTATTTCATATATAAAGACAACGTTTATAATATTAGTGCAACTAAATCGAGTTCAAATCTCAGATATTATTAAACATTTTTGACTTATCTCAAAAACTGAAATGACGCTACTGCTTTCAAGTATCTCCGGAGTTTCCAATCGAACAAGATATTATTGAATTTGAAAATCGAAGCGTTATATTTCGACTTCTTATCGTGTACGCACGAATAAAAAAACACACATCATTGTAAAATCAATAGATAAATAAAAAAACAGTGAGTGTTGTTGAACACTCGGCAGGAACGAAGTTCAGTGCATGTGATGACGAGGTGGCCGAGCGGTCTAACGCGTCGACTGCGGCGCTGGCAGTCGCGGGTTCGCCTCTCGACCACTGGGCGGCATTTTTCTCCGGGCAAGTCACGGTGTCCGGAGTACAAGTGCCGCCATCCCCCAACCCGGGGCATGGCAGAAACCTACGGGTGCCCCAATAAAAATTCTGCCACCACAAACACACACGTGTACCAACCTACCCAATCTAAAAACCTACAGTTCCCTACCAACACCCAATGGCCTATGTTGCCGCGGGTTATCCAATAAAAAAAAAAAAAAAAAACCTATTGATGGTTAAGTCAAATTCTACTGAAAGAAATTTTAATAATGATACGGTTGATACAGCTTGTACTCGATTATCGTTTTTCAAAAGTAAATTTATAATAGATTTGTATGTATATAGAGAAGAAGGTAAATGGAAATCACAATGGAATTTATAAATTTAAGGGGCAAAAATTATTTTGAAAATAAAATTCTTATCACTTTCCTTATCAATAAAAACAATATTTATGAAAATCCCAATAAATCCCATCAAAAACTCAAAACCCCGAGTTTCCCCTTGGCGAGGTGGGTTTTAGTACTCTCCCGGACCAAAATCCATCAAAAAAGCAAAATCCAAAAGGGGGGGGGAGGAGGTGCACCCGTTCCCTAAAGTTGAAAACTGTAGTCTTCATATTAAGAATGGGTTCCCCCTTGGTCCGAGGTCTTTAACTTGAATTCCGGCCGAGTTATACTCAACTCAAAATGTGGGGGGGTGGGGGCTTTGGTTCCCTAATGTTGAAAATTCATCTGGGGCCTAAAAAATTGAGAGCCCATTGGTCCGGGGTCTCTAAGTCGAATACCGGCTAAGTTATGCTTCGTCAAAAATAATTACTCGTTTAATGGGTCCCCCCCCCCCCATTCCGCCCGACGATCACCTCTACGCGCGTGACGACCGATGTTGGGTAGCCTACGCGAATGGAACCCGGTTGCCAGATGGTACGATCCTAGTGGGGACATACGATAATATGAGAGGAGGGAGGGGATATGTAAGCCGGCAGCCGAGCAGAGCCGAGCCGAGCCGAGCCGAGCAATGTGTTACGCTTTTCGGTGTTACGCTTTTTGGTGTTGCGATTTTTGGTGTTGCGATTTTTTTCCAGCGACTCCCATCCACCTAACGCCCCATAAGGAACTTCGTTCCAATAAATAATAATACTAATTTCTACGATTATACTATTTTTAATCTGCAACCATTTATGAACAAAAAAAATTACAATTTCCACCTCGAATCTCAAGATCCTTGTTTGACCACCTCTTAAAATGTGAATATCGGAAATCCTTTCTTATTACACATCTAGATCATTAAAGGAACCACTATTCCAAATTTCAACGTCGTAAGTTTTTTGAGATGAGGAGCGAACGAATAGTATTTGGCCTATATATATATCTATTACCTATAGATTATATTATAATATTAAGTATTAACCATTTTACCATTATTTTCTTTCTTGTTAATTATCTAATTAAAGTTTGAGGTACTAATTGATAATATAATTCATAAATGCATGTTATATTTACTATTAATAGTTAACTTGCCATTGTAACTTTTAGATCGTAAATTACTTTATAACATTTAACTTTGATATCTATCTCGGTTGTGTATACAACTATATGTTTACATATAATAGTGAGGTGGGTATTACTATATAAGTATTTTTGTCACGAAATTGCAGTGAGTTTAAGGGGATGGAGGGTCGACATCATGATTCATTCCTTCAATGTCGTTTTTTTCATGGCACAGGTTTTTGTTTAAAACATTGTTTAAGAGTGATACTTAATAGTATTTATTGAATGAATTTCAATGACATTTTTTTCATACTTCTGTTAATTATTTTTAGACCTGTGGTACAGCTAATTTAGTAAGGATTCCTCAATAGTTATTAGTAGTAATAGAAATTACAACATTCTTATTTGATTTGACCTTCCATTTTTCCACCATTAATATGCAACTGAACATTTTTATAATACTATGTTAATAAACTTCATTGTAGTAGCAAATTAAATCTTAAATTTGTATTCATGATTATTTACTTATAAAAAAAAATACATTTTGATTATCGAATTTTTTACCAGAAATACACTACAAATTTAGAAATTTGAAAATAAACTCTGTTAACATTCCTAGATAGTTGTATTTATCTTTTTTACTATTTCCTTACATAGTATGACTATTAGATAAAGTCGATGTATTAAAATGTGTAAAGGATTTAGAATACCAGTGATCGTAGTAATAATTATGATTTGGCATAATTTTGTTTATGTTTTAACATATACATATAGCTTAATGTCATGGTAAAAAGTAAATAAAAATAAAATTTAAAAAACACGATAATCTTTACGAATGATTTACACATACTCAGTCAGTAGCAACAATACATAAATTAAAATTCAAAGTTAGATATACAATATAAAATTTAGGAATAAAATTTAAAACAAATGAAAAAAATAATGTATAAATCATAACATAAAATCAATGATCTAATTAAGATTACATAATGTGATTGGTTTAGACGAATTGATAAACCAGTTAACTTATAATTGCGTAAAAAATAATAATACTTTTTCGACCAAAACAATAGACTCCTTACATATTATGTTATTATGTAAATAATAGGTGTCTCTTAAATTAAATTAACTCTATCCTTACATCGAAAGATAAGTTTACACTATAATATTTAGACGTTCTATAATAATGATTGAAATTTGTATTTTGGTCGGTAAAATTAAATAACAAAATAAAAAAAAAACACGTTATTAAGGTAATTACAAATACAGTAATACATATTATCTATATATATATACATAAAAAAATAAAATAAAAATGATAACTAGATCAGTATTTATTTTTAATATATTTGTTATTCCGCGCGAATTAAAATTGAAAAATTGGTAGAAAAGATAAAAGAAAATTAGGTACTAAGTATTTTGGAAGAACCTTAAAAAAAACCTTTAACGTTATACCATTACATTGAATACATCTTAATATACACAATATATTCAAATTATACATTTGTACTTAACAATTAATGGAAATAATATTTTTTAAATTTTTACAAGCAATTTTTGTTTTGATATGTTCATGGCCATTTTTATTTTTACATCATGGGTGGTTGACTAGTCATACAGCAGATACTTGTGCATCTTCGTCGTCTAAACAATTATTTAACAAAACTATTTTAAAAACATCAAATAAATTAAGTAAGTAATATTTACCATCATCATCATCACCATCATCTCTTAGATAATATGTTGATGTGACACCTTCATGCGAATGTGCTCTACCTAAACGGTGCATCCTAGCTGCCATTTGGGCAACACTCGTGTTATAAGCTGGTGGTGGTCTCGTCCGCACACAGTTGGTTGATGATCCCATCATTTGCATGTTTGACGAATAAATAGGACGGTTTCCAATCTGATAACTCGCTAATAACAATACAAATAATTGGCTCAAGTAAAATTGTTAAAATAAAATAAATGTGCATATAGATTAGTACCTGGAGGTTGTAGTACTGAATGTCTCCTTAAGTGGAGTGGTGGTGGAGGAGATGCTCCTGGAGGCATGCAAACATCTGTTGATCCGCTCGTTTGTGTGGAATGTCCTGAATCGCTGGAAGTCACTGAACCCGCTAGGACAAACTTTAAATGAGTATACATTTGTGTACTAATTTTAATAGGCCATATAAATTAACTTACTGGATGTCACAGTCTTTCTTAGTGAGAGGTTTGATAAACTAGTAACACTACTGCTCTCAGCATTCAGATCAACCGATGATAAGAGTAAAGGTGGTGGTGGGTTAAGAGGGGTTGTGTCTGAGTGAGAACGTTCATGAGACGTTGCTGGAACACTAGGTGGTTGATGTACGTTGCGACGAGTTGGTGGACCCGGAGAAGGTGCCATATGATACCTGGGCTGATGCAGTCTCGTTTTGCTTGGCTCACTCAAAGACAATAACTTTCGTACAGCTTGTGGTGAAGCAGAGCCTATTATATTTTTATTTGGATATAAAAACACAAATAAACCAAGAATATTATCAGTATTAATAATTACCGAATTTAGGACCAGTATTCTTCAATCCTTCACTGGCACTACTAGCACTACTAGCTGTTGAAAGCGTTGGTGATGGATGTCGTTTTCTTATTGGTCCAGATCCCATTATAGACCCACCAGTACTAGAACCTTCGCAACTCATTGACAGTTCGTGTAATTTTTCTTCATCAGTGAGCACCTTCATTTTTGCCAGATAAGCTTTGACTCTTCTTACCATTTGGGACTAAAATAATTTTAAAAGAAAAATGTTTAGTTTTGTACTGCAAGAACTTTCAACTATTATATTAATAAGCTGGTATAATTAATATATCATGCATACTTCTTCAAACATCTTTTTTGGGTTTGGGGCAGCAGTTGACTTTTTTCTTCTTTTAAATGTGGCAGCACCTCCCTGATGAGCACTTCCACTTACACCTGTAGTAAGCTGGTTCAAAGCTACCATTGCATTGGATGTAGGTTGTCCACCAAGTTCTAACATTGTTAGTAAGTCATAAGGTGATGAGCACATGTTTGTTAGATTTCTAACTTCTTTGGCAATCATTCTTAATTTTTCAAAATTAATTAAACTTTCTACATGTGTATCGTTACCAAGATGAATAAACGTTAGATCTTTCTTAACTACTGGATAAAACGGTATCTAAAAGATTTTTTAAATTAGTACCTTCATCAAGTGTTACATTTTTAAAATCACATTATACTTACAATTGGGGGTTGAGATTGTTCGTTGCTGACTAGTTGACGATATTTACTCATGTTTCGTGAAGGATCCATTAAATCTTGAAGATCACTAAATAATCTTTGATATTTTGTAGGTAGTTTTTCCCACGATTGGCGTAAACGGCTAACAGCTCCATGTCCAAGTCCGGAAATGATGGCAAACATAGAATTAAAATTTTTACATTCCTTACATTGACCTATATAAATAAAATTACATATTCAATAAATAAAAGTCAAATCAGAAAAAAAAAATTAAATATTTAATTCAATCTATTTTGTTTACGTACGTGCTACTTTTATAAATTGTTTGATCATTTTTGACCGTCTTATAAGGTTGTGTTCAGAGCAAATTTCCGTTACAACCCAAAACATTTCTGTATTCACCAACTAAAATGTTTAACATTTATTAAATTATATTTAAATAAAATTTACTTTTAAAAAAATGTATGAAGTACATACTTCAGCAAATTTAGATAGCATTGGTGTTCCATAACGACTGTCTAATTGAAATAAGTCGTCAACATATTCTGTAGCTTCAATTTGCCTGAATATTGAAAAGTCTTGTAGTGTTAGTTGTACTGCCACTTCAACAGCGTTCAGTTGCAAAAAATGTACATGACTTTCCCTTATTAAATCAGCTGCAAGTTCATCTCCAACTAATGTTTCAGTATTACTGACATTTTTTAAGTAATATCTATAAAAGCATATGAATAAAAATTAAATTCAAACTCAAAAATTCAAAAAAAAAAAAAAAAAATATACACAATGGAAGGTTTTAGACTGACCTACTACTAAGCCCAATTCGCTCTGCTAAATTTTGTAGTTGGTCTGGCAACCTCCTTTGTTTAATTATACCCCCTTCTGACACTGAGACTTCACATAATGAATAAAGAGAACTCGGTTCTGTGATTCCAAATTCTTGTAATGCAAGCATGACAACTTCATGAGCTGTAGTTTCTTTATGCACCAATAGGTATTTGCAAGTCTGATCAGGCTTATAAACTTTTAATACGTGTTCTGGATAATCTGCTGCTACCCTTGTATCGTCCAGATATGATATTGAAGTCAAGTCCGGGTGGCTATGTGACTGTTTAAAATTTGAGCTAGAGTCAGATTTAGCAGACACCGAACTATCATCACACACGTCGCCAATAATATTTTTTGGTAAAATATTCATTTTCATCAGAGCCCGCTGAAGACGTTTCTTGGGGCCAAGAGTCATAAAACCTCCGCCACTTGATGTGTTGGATGCGTTTGTTTTAATAGGTTGTTGGATAGGAGGAGGAAGATGAGCAGTGAGCAACGGCCGTGCTCGTGGATCGTCTTGAAGACGAGCGATTTCAACAGACGGTTTTTGTCGACCTCTTGGTCGAGGTGAGTTGTCAGGTGTTGCAAGCATTTCTTTGAACACTGTTAAATTGTATACAATAATTAAATAATAATACATTTTTAAAGTAATTACAAATATTTACCTAATAGATTTGATTTGACAGTAATACTCAAATGCGTAGTTCCTCGAAGGATCTCTAAAGCACGAGTATGGGTTACGTGTTCAAAGCTTTGTCCATTAACTTCTAAAATTTGGTCACCTCGTTTCAGACCGACCTCTTCAGCTTTCGATTTTTTATCGACCTAAGATATTATAAAAATATATAATTAAATATAAATTGTATTAACAATCTTAAAGAAAATACATACTTTTGAAATAAATATTCCAAATCCTCTTTCATATCCTCCCAAAATGGAAAAATGTAGCACCTGATCTCTAGACGGTCTGGCTAGAGTAACGCACCTAGTTCTTGCCTTTGCAGCACAAGCAATGTTTAACAATCTCAATTGTCCGCCCATTTTATTCTCTTCCAGGCACGCTTCAAACTTTTCTACAAAGTCCATCATCACTGGATCCATTTCGAAATCGGTGAAATGATTGTTGACCCACAGTAGCACCACTCTAGTGACGCGGTCCCTAGCAGATGGTTCGTTAAACCAATTCAACAGTTGGTTGGCAACTTCCATCGAGTTTTTAATGAAAGTCCGATGCGTTAAAAGAAAATCTTCCACATAGGTCGGATCTATAACCGAATTTTCTTCGATCAGTTGAAGCATCAGTCTCTCCGGTGTACCCTACAACCACAACGTACATCATTAAGACAATTATAGTAATGCAATGACAATACTACGACGACACTAATATTATTATTATAATACATACACGAAAAAGTCGCGGCGAACTTACCCTTATGACTACGTGACCCCGTCTGCCGGCTTCCAGCGTACCCCTTTGTTCGGTGACCATGACCAATTTGCCTCCGTCGTCTTCGTGTCTTTTGGTGTTCTCCTCGCCCTGGTGGAGTATTCTGTAGTAGTCCGTCTGCGTGATGCAAACGAACTGACAGTCGTCGCACTTTGTTCTCATCACGCCCCGGTGGTACAGCCGCTCCATGGTAGGCACTATGCCGAAGCTGTCGCCCATGTGCAGCTGATCGGGAATGCCGTCGGCGTGCTCGACCTCGACGTGGCCGTTGATCAGCACGCTCCACGAGTCCAGCTCTTCGCCATCGTTCATCACCACGGTGCCGGCCTTCTCGACGACCGCGAACACCATGACGCTGCACAGCGCCCGCCGCACGGCCAACGTCATGTTGGTGAACGCCTTCAAGTGCTGGGTGAACTCGAGCAGCACCTCTACATCGTCCTCGGCCCGCTCCGACGGGTCCTTCTCTAGGCACTCCCGGACCGTGTCCCGGACGGTGAGGCTCTCGCTGCTGTCGCCCAGGTCGTCTTCGTCCGAGTCCACGATCGACTCGACGAGTCCCGACAGGTCCACCTCGTCCGCCTCCACCGAAACGCTCCCCGAATGCACGCTGGTCATGGTGTCGCTGCCCGAATACGCCGAACTGGTATCCGAGCTGTGCGAGCTCCGATTGCTTTTCTGGTATAGTTCAGGCCGGATCGCAGCAATGTACTATATTATCACCAACATATCACACAAAACCATATTATAATAACAAAATGTTCATATTGTTTTTAGCAACAAGTCCAATAATTTAAAACACTTACGCTGTCGTCGAATACGAGGTTGATCGCCCCACCACGTTCCATGCCGGTGTGCCGGGGGATATTCAACGAGCGCAGACCGCTTTGAGAGTCCGCATAATCCATCTGAAATCATAAGTAAATGGTATAATTCGGTACGGAATATAATAAAATATTAAATTACTAATTTGTAATATCGTTCATGGCAGATTGCAAATGTATAATATTATAATTAAATCAAATAGTGTTCAGAGAGAAAATATTCATTCATGAAAGACGAATATACTATGAAATACATTATTTATATTAAATTATAAATAGATATCGAATAATAACCCAGAAGCTTTGTAATCATTTATTTTACATTTGATTTAAAGATTAAAGTAACTTTGTTAAATAAAATAATATCATTCTTAAAATGTTATAGTTTGGTTTATTTTTTCTTGGAAAAAATCCAACAACATTCTCAAACAATAGACCGTAATGAATATTCATGTTTGATTGAAAAAGTTTTTGTAAGTTCCCATAAAATATTTAAATTTATATGTCAACGTTGACGAATAGTATAAAAAAAATATCGATTGTTCAAATTAATATAACCAAATGTGAATTAATTATAACCGATTGGAATAGACAGTTCTATAAATAGAATAACACTGAGATTTCTATACAGTGTAATATTATTACAACAAATAACATTATTATTAATACATTTTGTCATGATTACTCGTACCATAATGCCTTTGGATTATGCCAATCTGGGGAGGGGGCAAGGAGGGCAACTGCCCCCTCAGATATCTAACTGAGTGGGAAATACCAGTGTTTTACCTTATAGATTTTTAGATTTACAAAAGGCTGCCCTCCAAAAAATTCTTGATTAAGCCCATGACTGGTACACTTGTTTAATAATCATTTTCTCAAAAAGTAATATTAATTTTGATGGATACTATGTTTTTTTTTATATTTCCAAACGAGTAGGTCGATACTGAGATTCAAACCATTATAATATTATGATTGTTCTGTTTTAATAACGAAAAAAAATCTTTTAAGCGTCTTATTGTTTTTGTCGAGTAAACATTATATTATGTGGTTGTATAATATGGGAAATTGCAAGATGTAAAATAAAAAAATAAGGCACAACCGGTTCAACAAGGACAAAGATATTCTAAGCGCATATAATTCGTATAAACACGGCCACCCATATCCGTTAGGTTTGCATGTATCTACATTTAACGCCCAGTTATTTCATAAACGTGCAGTTTTTTTAATTAGCCAGTTGGTTGTAATATGCAATTATGGAACATTTTTCCAAATCGATTTTTAGAGAAGTATTGAAGATTATAAAATATTGAAATAAACTATTGATGGTAAAATATATATTTCTTAAATTAACCATCACAAGTATTTATTAAAAACATTTCTAACAACACCGGATATGTAATTTACGTCACGACCCTTAAATCTCTCTACGACAAAAGGAGAGAAATTACGAGCACAGAGCGGAAATTTAGACCTTCTAATGATATTGTCTGTCTAGGGTTCCTATTTTTTCAACAATGTAATATTGACACGCAACCGTAAACAATAATTAAATAGGTAATCTCAAGGAACACCATAATGCATATCATATTTATATTATAATTTATACTTGATACGTTTTTATTTTTTAACGAACCTCAATGTTAGAGTTGTAAGTACAATGTAAATATTTATTTTCCAGTAAAAATGTGCTGTTTACATACACTATAAAATGGTAAAGAAAAATAAGGAAGTACAAAAAATTACAACAAAATAATTTGAAACAAGTAAAAATAATTTTCTTTTAACCTTCAATCATAATATTCGATCAGGTATCTATTTACTCGACCCCGTCTGACCCGAATTCTATGCCGCAATATTTTCCGGTACATAAAACCAATGAAATATAGCAAGATTACTACTCAAGAGCGAAAACATAATTCATGGAGGTATAGGGGTATGATACTAAAATGGTATATATCAGTGATTTAAATACTGAAAATATTTATTTCTACTTATTATAAAGGTTTAGTAAAACTGTAAAAGGAGGTTTAAATTTTTTAAATTATATATATATTAAAACGTTACTTTAGCAGTGTAAAATTAATTATTACACACATAAGTTTTATAGTAAAGGGGAATATATAATACTAAAATAGTATAATGTATATTAGCTAGTTCCACCCCACACACTATTATATACTATATATTTGTTCACGTAGGTGTAAATGCTAAGGGATAATTATTTACGCTGCTTGTGTCCTAGCCCGTGCACAACTTTGCTAACTACCTACGCATTTACACTGAAATACTGCATTTTATTTTTTAAAACAATAGTTTAAATTAATAATAATTATTCAGAAAAAAAGAAGAATATTTGGTTCAATTGTTCAGTTTGTTGAAACTAAAAAAAAAAAAAAAATCGAATATATATAATATATTTATATATACCTAGTAAGTAAAAGAAAAAAATCGTTCCAATTCTTTACAGTCCGTAGTAAATTAAAAAAATCTAAATAAATGCTAATAGAAAATTAACTGGAAACCCGTTAGAAATTAATTAGCTAACAAAAAAAAAAAGTTTCTATATTATATACTACATTATAATATAACAGTATGCCTATTGTAGTATATTTTTTGTATTTCTTAGTTAATATAACTGATGCATTCAAATTTTGTTTCATTGTTACTTCAAACTTGAATTATTACCTAGGTATCTAGAAAATAAAAATGATTTTTATGTAGGATTGACTTATTCAATAATTGAAGTAGTAAGTAATAGGTACTATATTCTCAGTTCAGAATGATTATCTGATGATCTTTATTTATGTTCATTACGAATGATTCATCTGTTATGTTTGTCGTTTGGTGCACAGGCGTAGTGACGAATTCTTCTGGAAACTATTACTATAAATGTACATTATTCCTTACTACCGGCACTACATGAATCACTCTATATACATAATCACAATTCATATCTATCTATATCGTATAATATGTGTGTCCATTATAGTATAATTAATGGTGATTCATAAATCATGCTCACTCTCATAAATTTTCCTTTAAATTAATCAAATTCTGATTTTTGGAATTTTTAAATTTACCTACTTAAAGACCATAATTTAAAATTTGGATTAGGATGTATGAATTATGATTATACGGAACATATAGGTGTGTATAGATATAGTTTCTTTCTTTTAATCTTAAAATATCATCTCTAGTTGTTTTGAATGAAAAGAAAACATCATTCATAATACTTATAACATTTTGATAGGCCAAAGTTCGTAATTTTTATCAATGTTTAGTACAGACTAATAGAAAAATGTTCAAGTAAAAAGGCTACTGATTTTCACTGTTTGTATTGTGATAAATACAAAAATAATATTTTATTTATTTCAAAAATACTTTATTACCACAGCATGTTTTACTTCTATAGTTCTATGTAATATACATGTATCCAACAAATCATAAGTCGCAAGGACGTGGGATTATGGAAATACTTTACTTACATAATTAGTTCATTCAAATTTGCTCCGACTTATAATACCAATGTTTATTAGGTATCAAATCAAATCAAATCTTATATGTATGAAACAAATGGTTTCCTTTAACTTAACAACGAAGTTCAAAACAAATTGACTGCATTTTAATAAATAAGTCTAAACAACTAAACATTTTTAAATTTTTTTTATAGTAAGATATAAAGTAATGTGAAAATAATAATAGTTATATTATTAAATAATAATTATACTCTAACATCACAATTTTCATAATCAGACTAAATGTATAAATTTTAAATTAGTTTTTAACAACGACGAATGATTTACCCACATTTGAAACAATATAAAGAAAATATCAGATTTAAAGTTTAATGGAAATTTTAATTGATAACCATTCAATTAATTGAAACGGAAATTACATGTTGAGAACACTTTATAACAGTCAATATCAGAATTTAATAAATAATAGTAAAGTTATACAAAACTCGAGTGTTTATAAAAATTGGCCTTGCTACATTTTCCGGAAAAAAATTGTTTAATAATCGATGTGATTTGAAAATTGTAAAAACATAGTACATTAGTACTATGTTCATATTTAATAGGTGATGAGAAATATGATGAATGTAAAATAAAATGTACAAATTGCGGGGCGAGTGTTATATTAAAGCCTTATTAAACCAATATTTTTTATTGTAAAATTACTATAAAAAGGTTCAGATCTATAAATATTATAATACATGGAACATTACTTATTTTTTAATTTTATAAAATATTATATTCAAATAAGAGACTGCGGGGTACCTGTATAATACATAATATTATGAAGTATAATGAAATCGATCTTTCAAAAATTAAATATTTATTATTTATTTTAACTTGTGTATTTTAAATCAAAAAAATATTACTATATTATCTGCGGGTAAAACTTCCAAAACGACATTGTCATATAGCGCACAATAAAACATATGTTACATACTCAGAATTAAGTAGGTACTTATATATTATTAATATAGTACCTAATCTTAAATTTCATATTCTAATATCGGAGGTAAATGCACGGTACCGCACATAAAAAACAATGTTTAATTCATAAACGATATCGAAAATCGAACGACCTATATATTATTCTGCGAGCAAGGAACGACAATACGCGTTTATATAGGTGATCATAATCATGTTTAAACGTTTAAGGGTCGTCGCAGGAAAAAAATCCCTCACACAGTTGTAATATAAAGTTGAATATATTTTATACATATGACTGGTCTTATAATACACAGGTATTTTCGACGATTGACGATTACGACCAGTACTCTCGACACAATATATGATGACGTAATGTGGATACTATATACTATACTACGGTATATACATAGCTCGAAAAAGGGTAAAAAATACATTTTTAAGTGTAAGGGGACGTCAACTGCCGAGAGGGTTGAGGGTATCAATCACTGGGACTCTCAATGTTAACTAAACCAGTTAAGAGTCCCGACCAAACCATCAATAGTTTATTTCCGTATTTGATTACAAAGTTCACAAAAATTAAAATTAAAATCGTAATATTTTGAAGGTTCCTGGTACTTAGAAGTATAGCTGGTAAATCATGCATGT